GCATTTGGAAATGCAGTAATTCAGAAATGCAGTATTGCATATGCTCAGTATTCTTTACAAGCAACATTTCCAAAACATCTAAATGTTTTTGTAGTGTTCCTCTTTATTATTCTTTAGCCTTTTGCTTGAAGATTCCCATTTGGCTCTTTCTGAAAACCCAGGTTGGAAGTATATTACAGTAAGACTATTTTATTTGAGATGAAGTTTAATATTTTTACATTGAAAAGGGGAATAAACACCCTAAGTTCTTCTATTTTCCACCTATCTTAATTGTTCATGATACTCTTCTTAAAGGATGGGAGAGTTCACACAATTAAAGGTGAAAACAAAACAAAACCAAAAGTCAAGTAGAAAAGTCATAGTTTGTTGTCAAAATTTTGCACATGTGTTTAAATGTAGGGTTCATTACCAATGCTAATACTATTTTTCAATAACGAACTTCTTTTTGTTCAGTTCTCAGTGCTGGCTTTAAATGTCTGTTAAAAGTCCTTTCATTCAGCTGAAACAGAAACGCCTCATCTGTCAGTACAAAAATATGAATAAATTCCAGGCACATTCTTCATTGTTTGTACTTTCAGCAGATTATATAAATGTGCACAAAATTTCCACAGCTTAAGAATTGTCGCTATCTACAGATGTGAAATATGAGAACAGGGCCCAATTTACAGCCAATTAGAGAGGGCAATAATTTTTATGAAAAGCTAAACATCATATCGAGTGATTCTTAAACAGAGTCTAAACAGGGATTCTTAGTTCCATTTTCAATTCATTTTAGTAAACCAGCAGACTCAAGATCATCTTTGAATGTAGGAGAAAATAGCATTACTTATTTAATTAAAGAAATATGAAGCTGCATATTTTAAACATCGTTTTATATAGCATAAGATATTAAAATGCCCATTAACTATTTAAAGAATGTTATTTAATTTCCTCATTCATTGTCTCCGTTAGATTTATGTCAGAACCAACCTGTTGCAATTTTGATATCAACAACGTCCAGCTACCCAGCTTTGGGTATTCATTTACATCCGGATGTTAATTTCGTTGCCTCCTTCAGGCCGTCTTGTATTTGGATCAGGTATTAGTGACAGAGACAAATGTGCCCTTCTTGGCCATTTCTGTTGCTAACCCCTCACTGTAGGGTTGTAGGAGTAGTGAGGGTCATTGAATGAGAAAGTGAAGGCGGCAGTTTTTCACGCACAGGGTGAGAAATTATTGCGGTATCACCCGGAGGCAGAGCAGATACTGCTGGAGATTGGCCACGAATGGGGAAGCTCACAGCCCCAGCCTAGTGAGATTTCGTGGGATCGCTTTACAGGTTCATTGCTTCCTCACCGCTCCCTTGTCTTGGTCAGTCAGAGACCCCTTCTCTCCCTTCCTTTCCCATTTCCCAATCTGGAGAACTTGGAGGTGAGAGGGAAGGAGGAGTGAAGACAAGCTTACCCTCAGAGCACATTCTCCTTTAGCTCTCCCCAAACCTCGCACCTCTCCTATGCCCCAGCGACAGATGAGAATTGATTGAAAACCCCACAGTAGGAGAGAATCTCTCCGGGCCCGAACTGAGTTTGGGCGCTGCGGAGTCCCGCAGAGCTCTTCGCTGGGCTGCGCGAGGAGTTTTTTTGTAGGGGACTGGTTCTCAGTGGATCCGAATCGAGATGAGACTGATTGTTGGAAGAGAAGAATGATGAACAGTCGCCAACACGTGGGGGAGGGGCTGTCTGTGTGCGCAAATCCGAGACAGAAGGAGCAGCGGGCAACTGCGGTTCTGGATCGCTTTCTCCACGGGGCCTGGGTTTGCGGCTGCAGCCGGAGACGCGGCGGGAGGAGGCCCGGAGAGCGCAGCGGGCCCGCCCCCGGCCGCCTGAATTTACCAGCGCAGCCTTTGTAAACTTACGCAGGTTGTAACTTATTATTTTTATTAACCAGATCAGAGGCAGAGGCGAGAAGAAGAGTGTGTGCAAAGAGAAGGAGGAGAGTGGGAAAGGAAGGGCAGAGAGAGGGAGCCCCAGCCGGCGTGTGTGGCGCTGCCTTGTGACTGCGGGCGGCTTCTGATGTCCACTGCCCCCAATTAGGATCTGGCTCCTTCACAGATTAAGTTACAAATTAAGGCAGCCAAATAAGTAGCCCCCTTGGTTGGACTGTACCCTTGCTCGCCCCTACTCTTTCCTCTATTTCTGTATTTCTCCCCAGGTTAATCTTTCAGCTAATAAACATTTTCTTTTATGCGTGGGAAGGAAGTCAGGATCCTGCCTGTTTGGAAATTCGGGGACCACCTGATGCGCCTCGAGTTCAACGGCCAAGAACAAACGCTCCTGTATGCCAGGGCTCACCTCCCCGAGTCAGGTCTTACGTCTGGGAAATCTAAACGTAAGGGTTAGAAATTATTATGGCAATTGCTAAGCGTAAAAGAAAAACAGGAAAAAAAAGTCTATCTAGTGAATGAAATCCTGACGCTTAGGATTTTTACATTTAGAATTAAAAAATAAGCAATTGTTTATAATACAAGTAGCTTATGTCAGGTAAGATGAAATAGCAAGCTCTCTCTAAACATGTATATATGGTTTACAGTATAAATAGTGTAAACAGACTCTAGGCTGAGAAGGCACAGCAGGAGCCGACAGAGAAAATGCGCTTTTTTAAAAAAGAATCTTTTGGAACTGTCCAATTTTAAACTGCACCAAGAAAAATAAGAGGAACTGGATATGCTTTTTAAACGTCCGCCACCCCTCGTTAGTTTTGCTATCTGGCTTGACACAGATTCCACTGGGTACCGCTCTCCCAGACCTGGGGACTCAAGGCTCTTCTGTCTTCCTCCTCCCCTCAAGTCCCTGAGACAGACCCACTCTGAGAACGTTCTTCCCTGGGTGACTTTTATTTGAAATAGAGCTGGGCTAATCCTGCCAGAGGCCTGACAGTTTAATTCAGTTTTAATCGTTTCCTTAACGTAGCTCATACTGGGAAAAGACATTTTCTCTCTCCAAGTGACGAGAGGCAAACACTCCCGGTACATACGCCCCCACCCACGTGTACACGCGCGCAGGTGCACAGACGCGCACAGACACGTGTACACGCGCACAAGCACCGCACCCCGCAGAGCTTTTCTCCCTCCAATTCGAACCCTGTCCCCCTTTCCTTTGCTCTCTTGACTATCAAAATGCAAGGCCCTGGCTCGACCCTGGCGCGCGCATGCCACGCTTTTAAGAAAACACCTTGTAAGGGTGATGGCTTCACCACCACTCCGCAGGCCGTGACTCCGCCTGCCTGCCCCTTTCCGCCTTCCTTTCCTCTCGCGCCCGGGAGAGGTTCGGCGCCTCCTCCCCCAGAGCGAAGGTCAGGGTGTGCTGGGGTCTTCGTCTCTCTGCTTCACGGGGTCCGGGGCAGCTGGTTCTGCCGGGACCCGGGGCCTGAGCCGGATCCCACGCGAGCCCAAGGCGGCGAGCCGCGATGGGGCTCTATCGCTGTGGTTCCCAAGCCCGGCCTGGACCTGGACTAAAGGGACCAGCGCCTTCGTCCCGCCCCCGGCGTCCAGCGCACATCTGGATTATTTCTAAGGGCCACGTTCCATCTGACATTGTGGGTGTCTGTGAAGCCTGGCTTTCCAGCTAGTCGTCCACGTGAACACAAGTCCCCGGGTGTCCGCTCGTTGCCAGGTCTGCGCCGCTCGCTGCCCCGGGTAAAGGCGGAAGAAGGGGCAGAGGGATGCAGGAGGCCCTGGGCTGTGCAATCCTGAGAGCGCCCTGCAGGCCCGTGTACTCGCTTCTAACTCAGTTTGAGCTGCGAGGCATAGAAATGGACAAGAACGCGTCCACAAAGCCGGCTTCGCGACTGGAAAGCCGCCTTCTTCCTTGGCGGCCTCGGGTTTCTCCGGACGAGCAGCTCCTCCTTCCCCTGACGCGGGACCCGAGCTGGCCTGAGGGCCCGGGCGACTCCCCCCGCCCCCAACCTCAGCGCCTCCAAGTCTCCAAAGCCGCCAGGGCTCCTCGCGGGAGCCGTGGGGCACTCCTCCTTAGGGTCCCCGAGCGCTGGGCCTGGAGCTGGGCGCTCCGTCCTCGCAGGCTGCTCAGGCTGCCTTCAGACGCCCTCGCTGCGCGGAGCTCCGGGCGCGGCCTCCTGCCACGTCTGCACTCCCCCCATCCCAGTCCCATTCCTGGCCCAAACCCTCCAGGCGGCTCTTTGCTCTCCCAGGCCCGCGCGGCCCGCGGCTAGGCTTCAGAAACCGGGTTTGCGCTTACTTTGTAGGCTATGCTACCCGCCCAGGGCGCCTGCGGAGCTTGGAGGCCCTCCGGGGTCCGGACAGCTCCGGACCCTTAGCTAAGCCTCCTTTTACAAGTGCAAAACAGCTCCTCCCTGTTGAATCGGCTTCTCAAACGTTTAAAAGCGGCCTCCTCCGCAAGGGTGTTACCCAGTCTTTTTTGACCCTGAGGCTGCGGGGCCCGCCCGGCGGCGAGTACGTGGATGCCTCCGGGCACCGCCCGCTCAGGTTCCCGCTCTTCTGGTCGCCTCCGGGGCACTGCGCGTTCCCCGAGCTACAGTAAAAAGATCGCAGTGGCAAAGCTACTCTCTGAATCACTCTACCGAAAGCTTCGAGAGAAGTCAGAGGTACTAGGGCACCCAACAGTCGTGGAGGTTGAAATGAGCGAGGGACAGAAGAAAACAATCCCTTGTCGTGTGTTTTATATTAAAGATTTAAGAGTAATATGCATCATGAATTTTATTCTACAAGATTTGCTCTATTTAGAGATTTGCTTCAAAACCATCTTTTTAAAAATCCTGACAAAAAGTCGAATTGAAACTGTAAAACAAACTGTACGATTACATGGTTAGTGTTATTCAATCAAAAAGCGTTGTTCTTTTTAAATTAGTTTTAAGCAAACATGTCTCTTGAAAAGCCTGAGAAAAGAAATGGCAAATTGTCAAAAGCAGGGTAAATATGAAGTATGTCAAATCACAGATACATTTTTAAAAACTGCAATGGAAATTTTATTGCATCTTAAAACATTTCACTTTGCGAAATTTTTAGGGGTTTAAAAGCTAGTCCGTATTATTAAAGACAAACAGAATTAAAAATCCCACGATCTATGTTTTAAATTAAGTATCATGCTTTGAAAGAAAAGGGAGGCATCGGAAAGGACGTGCTTTGTCTGACTGGTTCACATGAAGAACTGAGCGATAATGTAAAATTTTGCTCTCCTAAATTTAAAGGATTTAAATGCATCTTGAATTCCTTCTCCCTCCCCAAGAAAAATCCATGGAGTGAAACAAACAAATAAATAAACAAATAAGTCTAATGCCATGCCAGGCGCAGGAATGTTTAAATGAGAAAAGACCGGCCTGGTGGCTGTGAATGGTCTCTCCACTTCTCAAAATGTTCTGAGTTGTAGCAGTATTAAGTGACAAAAGGGTAGGACGGTAATTTAAGGTTTCTTGAAAGATTCTTGATATTCTAACTTGATGATCATCTCGGTTTAAAGCCAGGAGCCTCAGCCTTTCCAGGTCCTGGACTGGAGCTGGACTGGGCTGTGGGAGGCAGGGAGACTGACCAGGTTCAGCGCCGGGGGCTGGCACTTCCAAGCCAGATGGCGGCGCTTTTCACTCTTGGTTTTTTGCAACCTTGTAAGGAAGTGGGCGCGGGCTGCGCGGTGTCAGCGCCTCCTAATTGGCCGGCCGTCTCGGTGATTGACAGGGCCCCGGTCTCCGCCCCCGCCGCTTTATTGACACTAATGAGCAAGTTCTTCCCACCGCTCTCCTGCCTGGAAGTGCTGACAGATCAAGGCAACAAATTTCAATTACAATCCCTAATTTGTGTCCGCAGAGTGTTTTTTACCCATGTTAGTCCTCTCTGGCGCATCAGTCGAGGCAGATCTTGGAGCAGCAGGAGGAGGTGGAGGGGGTGGGAGCGAAGGAGTGCATCAGTGAGAGAGCGCGCGCGAGAGACCGAGGAAAGGAAACTTGGCGGGCGCGTCGCTGGTTCCTCGGATCCCAACCCAAGCGAGAAAGAGGAAACGCCAAATTTGTGTTTGCCCGCGGCGGGAAAGGGGTCAGATCTCGGCCTGCGGGAGGCCCCTAGAGTCGTTCACATTTTGGTGGGGGCAGGAAAGCGAGTGTGTGCGTGTGCCCGCGTGAGTGTATATGAGTGAGGGGCGGGCGGGCGCCGGCGGCGGGGATGGCCGAGAAGCGGAGAGGCTCGCCGTGCAGCATGCTAAGCCTTAAGGCGCACGCCTTCTCCGTGGAGGCGCTGATCGGCGCCGAGAAGCAGCAACAGCTTCAGAAGAAGCGGCGAAAGCTGGGCACGGAGGAGGCGGCCGAAGCCATAGATGATGGAGGCAGCAGCCGCGGCGGCGGCGCGGGCGAGAAGGGCTCCTCTGAGGGAGACGAAGGCGCTGGGGCGGCGTCCGGGCCCCCCCGGAGCTGCGCAGACCTGGAGCGGAGCTGCGGCTCCCGCGGAGCCGCGGGTGAGTCGGCCCCTTCCTGCCTAACTTCTTCCCGGCGTGTCCTCTCCCGGGTCGCGCCAGCCCGCACGGCCCCGAGAACCTGAACTTCTGCGAGTTGTGGGCGTGCGCGCGCGCGATGTCCCTAAGTGCCGGAGGCAACTCGCCGCACTCTCACTGGCCATGGGTGTCAAGGCACAAAGCTCGCCACCGCCCTGGCCGCTCTCGCTGTGCAACTCGGGTCACCCTGCCGTGGTTAAAATGCCGCTTCCAGCCTCGCTTCTGGGGCTGCCGCCGCCTACTCGGCGACCCGCCCGCTCAGCCGCTGCTGTTTGCGGCTCTCGGCGGTGCCGATCTGTGCTTTCCGTATCTGCCTCCCTTGGGGTTCCAGCCAATGGGTGCTCTTTTTTCTTTCCTAACTTTTAAAAGCATGGGGGTGGGGGGAACGACGGCATAACCCCCCCCGAAACCGGAACGAATGTCCTAAACCGTTAGGGCAAACCAGGAAGAGGGCGGCGTATCTGCAAACGTGGTTTCCCGAGGGGTAGCTGAGCGGTTCCCTTCCCTTCCCCTCTCGGTTCCCCCTGCCAAGGCCGACGGCGACCGCGGGCTTGCTTTCTGCGCTCCTCTGGCCCCTTTGCTGCTTGGCTGAGAAACACAGGGAGGCCGGGCCGGGGAGGTCGGCAGGAGAGAAGTCTGAAGAACTTTCTAGGGGATGCCTCCGGCCGGGCCCAAAGCGAGGCTCCTCGGACGCCTATCGCGAAGGGAGGCCCAGGCGCTTCGTGCCGGGCGCGGGGTCGCCAGGCGCTTTCGCTGCGTGCGCTCCGGGCCGCCGCGGGTGTCGGGCTCTGCACTGGGGATCTGGATTCAGGAACCCATTTCAGGCTCCGTAGGGCACGCAGCCCAGACCCCAGCGGCAGCCCGAAACTTATTTTGGGGCCTTGACAGGGCGGACGCGGGGAGGGTGGAGTGGACGCGGCCCGTAGGCCTCTTTAGGACTCCGGACTTGGAGGCCAAAGGGGACCCACTTGAGCATCGAGTGTACCTTTGGCTGGCAGAGCGGGTGTTTACCCCTGAGCCTGTTTGATAGAAGGACCCGATGGCAGGAAAGCTGCCCGTTTGCTCCTGGTCCTTTTCTTCTCCCAGCCGCCCTCGGGGATCTGTCTCCCGTCAGGCTTCCCCTCTGGAGTCCTCACCGGGTACCCCTCTCTGCCCTTTGCTGCCCAGGCGGCTGTGAGGACGGCTTCCTGCAGGGCGCTGCTCCCCTGGCGTCCCCGGGAGGCTCCCCGAAGGGGTCCCCGGCGCCCACCCTGGCCCGGCCCGGGACCCCGCTGCCCTCGCCGCAGGCCCCGCGGGTGGATCTGCAGGGAGCTGAGCTCTGGAAGCGCTTTCACGAGATCGGCACGGAGATGATCATCACCAAGGCGGGCAGGTAAAGGGCGAGCTGGCGCAAACGGCCCGGCCCTGGGTTAGGAAGAAGGGCCTGCAGCACGGTGGGGGCTCTGGGTAGCATTTTCGTACAAACAGGACAAGGCCCCAGGTAGTGGTTCACTTTTGAGACTAGCTTTGCCTCCCTACCCCAGAGTCCAGGCGGTGAGGGGCTCTGCCCCGCCGCCCTCCTGCTGGATGCTGGGGAGAAAGAAATCACCGTCGTTGCCGCAGCTGTACCGTTTCGGTTGATATTCCGCGTGCAGGGTAGCTACGGATTGGTGGTCATATTTATGTCTGTCCAGGGGTTTATTTGGGTTCTAGTTAGCGTTTCTGAAACTATGGGAGAGATCATTCCACAGTTCTTAAAAAAAAGCAGTTTACTCTTTAGCAAACTATGATTTACTTTTTCAGATTCAGAACTTCCAGGTTGATTCTTTATCGAAATATTTCCTGGCAAAGTGAGAACGTACTGTGTTGTGCTATTTTGATGTTAGACTAGGATAAAAAGTTACTGGAATCATCAGTAATACATGCTTAATCCCTGCAGAAATAATTACCCTGATTTTTACAAACCATTTTTGTAGATCCACAGTTATACATTTTTTTTCCTAAATGACATCCAACACATTAGCCTAAATTTGCTGAAGAATACAAAAAAAATTTGTAAGAAGTTATATCAGTTTTTTGCAAGTGTGAAATTTGCACATCCATTAGGTAATAAAATAAATGGATTTGTTTACCAAATCATATTAATTTGAGGAAGGTACAGGAATATTTGCATTTTAAAGTTTTCAATTTATTTAGTGCAGTGAAATTATGAATAACATCTTCCTTAAAAGGAAGTTAAAAAAGTACACACCACTCTTTCATGGAGTGTACATGGCAGAAACCTGGATAGCATAAAAGTATCCAAACTTATTAGAAATTACAAAAACATATTTTATTGAATCCATATGCTACCTTCTACATTTTCACAGAGCTTTTATTAATGATCCAAATTCAGTCTTCAACAACACAAAGCAACAGTTGTCTTATAAAGGATGTAGTTAAAGGCCTCTACTCTTTATCTTACAGGTGCACTGAAATAACACTAAAACAGCCATCGTATTAAACTGTTCTCATGCCTAGTTAGGAATAATGGACTTTCTTTTCTCTGGAAGTGGTCTTTAACAGCATTATTGTTATAGAAAAAAATTGGTAAATAACAGTGCTAAAATTTGTGTTATAAGGTTAAATTAGCAAAAATTAGATTAACTGGAAGGGTCCTAGACATAAATCATTAGATGAAAGTTAAAAAAAAGAAAAAAAAAAAAGAAAGAAAGAACTGCTCTATTTGTTTTTCCTATACAATAATTTGCAGTTATATTCCTTACTACTCTGCTCTTTTAAAAAGTTAGGTGCATTTACTTTAGCATCTCCTTTGATATGCATCTCTGGAAAGCCAAGAGAAATGTGGATTTTCATTTGTTTTAATTAGCGAAGTTTTGAGGAAATGTGGTTAAATAAGAAAGTATTTTCAGGGTTTGGTGGGGAAAGGAATGATTTGGTAAATATACATTGTGTTTAGTTTCTGCTTTCAATAAAGAAGTTTTACTATACCTTTCAAATTTAGAGCAACTTTTACACTTCACCTTTACCACACTGCAGACAGGAAGTCCTGTCTCAATAAAGAACATATTGTTTGGTTACAGCATGGCACATTGGCTCCTTGTGGTTTTTTATAACCCTTTTAAAATTTCACGTTATAATATATTTTATCACTTTTAGAAATTCAAATTTTCTATTCCTCCCATTTGGAACATTTTATTATCTGTGTTTTTAAAGCAAATATGCTTACTGATTTTTATTTAAAAAATAAAATACTTTCTTTAAGTGCTATTGTTCCTTCAGTGTACAATTCTTTTGCTTTTAGCTATGCTGACATTTAGGTAAACATGGAACACACGTACAGGGTACAAGAAATTACTTTAAAAGCCTTAGTTTTGATATGTCCTGTGTTCTGAGTCTTTGAATTATATTACCAAAGTGAATACTATAAATTCATACACATGAAAAATAGAGATTTGAGAGGTTTCTTTGCGTTTTCATTCTCCATGTGTAATCGCAAGCAAAAACAAAACCCAAACCGTCTTTCCTCCCTTCCCTTGTACATAGGCGCATGTTTCCAGCAATGAGAGTGAAGATCTCAGGATTAGATCCTCACCAGCAATATTACATTGCCATGGATATTGTGCCAGTGGACAACAAAAGATACAGGTACAGCCATCAGATGGATACAGGAGGATAAGGAAACGCTAGGATTTTACAGGCTGTGCCTGTTTGATCTGCTACGACTGTGATGTTTATTTCCAGAAGCCTGCAGAATTCCCAGATCCACACTCCAACCCCTGTCAGTTCCAGTAGCCCAGATGATGCCTTCTCTCGCAGGAAATGTGAAAACTTAATTTTTGTTTTGCTTTTAATAGATACAGAAATGTCTTTAAGTATTGAAAACTTTTAATAGGGGCCAGTTTAGTGTTGCTAAACTAAATGTATCCTTTATATTTATTCATATTTTGATTAGAATTGAGAGGAAATACTAAGTTTGCAGATATACATAATACAAAATGAAATGTTTCATTTTCTTCATGATTTTTTGATCTTTAAATAAATTCTCTTTAACTTGTTACATTCAAAATCTTAACTGCAGGCTTTTTTCCTTTAATTTGAGAAAATTATTTATATTTTTTACAATTAACAAAAATAAAGTACCATATTCATTACAATATTAAGGCATCCGTAAACTAGCAATGAGTTTGGCACCTTACCATTGTTTTTTGGTTGTTAGTTACAGTAACTTTTTTTAAAAAACCTTCTGTAATATTTGGAGTTTGAAAGAGAATATATTTATCTAGTTAGGATAAAGTTGGAGAAGTTATACATTCTTCAGTTTCAAACCTACTTCTGCTCTATTTCTTCTGTAAGTAAGCAAATAAGCTATTTTCAATGACAATGCTTTTTACTTTCCTAAAGAGTTAAAAATGCTAACGTTTAAAAAAGGAAATTTTGAGTGGAAGATCAGAAGAAGCTGCTTTAAATTTTGGTCCTCTTTGTTTCTATTTTTTAAAAAACAGCTAGAGCATTTAGTAAGTTTTCAAATGGAATCAGATTTGGTTTTTCCCACTTTTTAACACTTAGGGAGTTGCTCTTTTGAGATGGGTTTATGGTGTCAAAAGTATACAGATTTAATTAGTACAGGCATATATGGAATACTAAAAAAAAGTGGGTCATAAAAAGGACAGTTTTATTTGTGTTTTGTGTATAAGTTGTATTACTTATTTTAACTAAATAACTCATTAGGGAGTTTTCTAAAATTATCTACTGTGTGACAGAAACTAGAAGGCATTGAAGTTTATTCTTTAAATAGACTTGGCTTAAAATCCGTATTCTAATTTGGGTTTGATGCTAAGGAAAATAATGTAATTCTTAATGAGCTTAGAAGTTATTCCTTTGTCTTCGAAGTTTGTCTCCTATTTCTTTCTCAAAATTTCCTCCATGTATTTTGGGTGGTTTATTTTACTTAACTGATTCCTATTGTTCTCACATAAAGCAAGAAGAATTTCAAGTGTTAGTGTTAAAATGCCAGATTTTAAAAGATCAAATTGTAATTGTAAAACATAAATTTGCTTTCACTTACCTTACTTTTGAAGAAGAAATTTGTTTTTTGCATTTGTATTTAGGATGTTTCACACAGAATATATAACACGTAGCATTTATTCTCTTGGTGGATGTGGATTTTTGAGCTATTCAATATGCATACCTTTTGAAGATTTTAATGGGGCATATTACTCTATTTTGGTAATATCTATATCCATAGTGCCATTTTGTTCTTGCTTTTCTAAGATTTGCATTTTATTTTCCAATTTTTTTCAGCAATAGTAGAAAACTTTTTTTGGTTCATTCTTTGCTGTCAAAGAGTGGCATTTGGTCAAGTTAAAAATGAGCGTGATTTATTAGAATATCAAATTAATATTCACAAAAGCACATGCACTTAGGAACTTGCTTATTGAAATTACATTATATCAATTAAGTTGTTAAAATTAGTCTCAATTTTGTGATTATGTATTTTTTCCTAAGAAAAGAAATTAAACAAGACGTACAGAGCTCAAAAGAGAATGAAATACGTGCCTGTAGTTGAAACAAAGGGCTTCACCAGAGATGTTATGAAAATATTTGTTGCTATTTTAAAAAGCAATTTTCATACTCTACAGGTAGAATTTTCTAAGACTGTTTACAACTTGTTGCTTTAAATTGTATGCCGTATTTTAAAACACAATGGAAGAAAAATGCCTAAGTATAAAATTTCATTTTATACTCTTTTCTAAGTGATTCATCGATATACTAGTTTCTAGTTTTTGAATTAGTGTATTTTAAATTAACATTAATAAATGATAATTTGAATATAGGATTAAATATTATGATATTTTTTACTTGAAATATTGTTATTTAAATATATTACTCTTATTGAGTCAATACTTTTGACATATATAAACAAACAGAATGGGATGTTTTGTCTCTTAATTAGGGAAGTAGTACTAATTAGATATGCCATCATTTTCAAAGTTTGATTTGTATTTTAACTAGTGCTATGTGAAAACTAAAGAATTTTATTACAAAGGTCAAGAAAGAGAAATACAAGAGATAAAGACCTGCATTTTATGATTATACAGAATTTAAAAATTGAACTGAATACTTTATCCTTAATTTATAGTGTAATAGAATTAGAAAAAAGTTATAAATTATATTGGATAAAACTTTTTTCCTATGAAAATAAGAGTTATTGGAGCTTCTGACAATTTCCCCTTGCCTTTCTACCATCTATCCCATCAGCCTGTATGTAAGCCTAAAATGGGAAGTGATCCTAAAGGAAATGGGACACTTTAAGATAAAATTCTCAAGTATTTTTGAGATTTACTTAAAGGTGAGCTTGACAACTTAATAGTTCCTTTATGTCAACTGACTATCCAGCTGAAAACAAAATATCTTAATACAGACAGAATGTCTAATGTGAATAAGTGTAATTCATAAGAACTAAAATACTTACATTTATGGTGGTGATAGCGTGTATATCTCACTAATCCTTAACATACACTTACTCCGAGTGGTCAGTAGGCCACTGCTGCCTTACAGAGTTTATGAAAAGTGCTTGAAATCTTATTTTATATGAATTGGATATAAAGAGCAAATCATTGTATTTTAGACTTTGAAAAGGATGGTGCACATTTTGTCTGATTCTACTGAGTTACAAATTCCAAGAAAGCAATAGTCCACATACTGGTGTCACTGCCTTCTAGGTATGTTTACCACAGCTCTAAGTGGATGGTGGCAGGGAACGCTGACTCCCCGGTGCCACCTCGGGTGTACATTCATCCAGATTCGCCTGCCTCCGGGGAGACTTGGATGAGACAAGTGATCAGCTTCGACAAGCTGAAGCTCACCAACAATGAACTGGATGACCAGGGCCACGTGAGTAGATTGCCTCCCTAACACGCCACCGTTGGAGGGTGCAGCCCTATCTACACTGTGCCCAACTGAAGGAAATGAACTTTTTAAAGATTATGATATTCCTCTCCTGGTAAATCAGCATGTGCATAATCTGTGCAAAATCAAGGTTATATTTGCATCAGAGACTATGCCCGGGGCCCAAGTATTCTGTGAAGCATTTAATAGGTTAAAACTAGATACAGCATTTGTACCGGAATGAAAGAACCCCTGGCAGACTTTTTTAGCCAACATTTGTTTGAAATCCTGTGAAGTAAGTGCTAATTATTATACTCTGAATATGAATACTTGGGAATTGGGTTAACAGGGATAATGATTTATTGTGTACTGCAGATCCAGCTCTTTTCCCAGCTGAAGCTCATTGCCTCTCAGTAATGGTCCAGGCTTATGCTGTTTGTGCGTTCCATCTGCAAGCTCCCAGTTGTTTCATAATGACATCTAATGTGTCAAAATATGCTACAATAATAATTCTTTTTAGTCCTAAAACTGCTAAATCATGATACGTAAGTCAAAGTCAGCCATTCCAATAATAACGTCATTTTTAACACTTTATTAATTTTTATGCAGTATTGCTCCTAAGCAAAATTTTAATAAATAAATGACTCTGGATACATGATGATTTCCATTCAAAGCTAGCATTTCTGTTAGCTATTTCTATTACTCGACAGGGTTTTGGTTGAGGCAGGATTGAAATGCCTTTTGAAGAGTACATCTTATGTGAAATGAATATCAACTAGTTCATTTCTCAAAGGGGTGACAGTAAGATAGCATATTTATGAGCATATCTTTTAAAATGAAAATGTTAACTGTCACAAGTTAGTAAGACAGTGATGACAGGATATTATTTGCAAATTGCTAGACAATATCTTACTCAATTGACCTTAATGAAAACATTTCCGTACGAATTTCATTGTGGTACAAATGCAGAATGTAGATTTTTAAAATGTATCTCTCTCACATTGCCAGTGCTTTCGTCTTTTTGTTGCCTTTTATGATTTAAACAGAATCAGAAAAGTAACATAGTAGATTTCATTTCTGAATCCAACTTCGTGCCCTATATTTTAGTGCAAGACTTCGTTTCCTTTCTTTTTATTCTGTATTTATACAGTCAAGTTGTAACAATTATTTTTTATTTGACTTCGGTGAAAGAGCAGTAGTTTCTGTCTCACTGAAGGAGCTGACTGTGAAATGTTGCCAGCATGTCCTTTGAGAGGTTCTTTATTTTCTTGGAGTAGAAAATTTAAAAATAAATGTCAAAAGCTTAAATATACTATACTTTTCTGAGTTCTACAGTTTGTGAATATATTTTTTAAAGATATAATTGAGTCTAAAGACTCTACACTGTCATATATAAAGTAAAACTTCTTTTAATAATTTAAATCAATATAGTCATTTTATAATTCTAATTCTTTCAGAACAAATTTCTGGCTTTATATCTAACATATCTTTAATATTAGATATAGATCTAGCAATTTATCTATTTGATGTTAACTTTGTAATTTTGCTAGACTTTATTTAAAACTGTATTCTCCAGAGAAACAGAACCAATAGGTTATGTATAAATATATATAGAGAGAGATTTATTTTAAAGAAATGGCTCTCATAAGTATGAGGCCTGGTAGGTTTGAAATCTGCAGGGCATGTTAGGAGAGTGACAACCCAGGGAAGGTGTGACGTGCGCTGACTCTGAAGGCAGTCTGGAGGCAGAATTCCCTCTTCCTCAGGGACCTCAGTCTTTTTTCTTAAGGCCTTCAACTGATTGGACAAAGCCCACCCATTATAGAGGAGGATAATCTGCTTTACTCAAAGTCTACTAATTTAAATGTTAATCTCATAAAAAAAAAATACCTTCACAGCAACATCCAGCCTGGTGTTTGACCAAATATCTAGGTACCATGGCCTAGCCAAGTTGACATATGCACTTAATTATCATGCAGCATTGTTTAAAACACAAAAGAATAGATTCAAATTGAAACTCAATTGTTTATGCCTAAATAATTATAATATTTCACTATTAAGAAAAAAAAATAGCAGAAAACAGGCAAAATCTAGAGAAGTGTGTCATCTACCAGTGAAATTCTTCTTTTAAGGTTGTGGCAGGATATAATATTTTAATGTTGTTGTTAGTACTGTTGAGTCGATTTCAACTCCTAGCACCCCTGTGGACAGCAGGGTAGAACCCTGCCCGGTCTTTTTGCACCATCCTCTCCCCTTCCGGCGCTCTATCAGACGATGCTCCACTGGTGTTCATAGGGTTTTCATGGCCAATTTTCTTCAGAAGTGGGTGGCCAGGCCCTTCTTCCTAGTCTGTGTTAGTCTAGAAGCTCTGCTGAAACCTGTCCACCATGGGTGACCCTGCTGGTATTTGAAATACTGATGTCATAGCTTTCAGCATCCTAGCAACATGGAGCTGCCACAGTGTGACAACCAACAGACAGACGAGTGATGTGGTTCCCTGACTGGGAAATGAACTCAGGCTGTGGTGGTGAGAACGCTGAATCTTAACCACTAGACCACCAGGGCTGGCTAATACTTTCATAGGGGGAGGTAGTAATGTGTGTGGGGAACAGGAAGAGAAAGATATGTACCTGTGCATTTTAGAAGCAAGGAAATTGCCTTTGCAAGTGGGAAAAATGTACGTATCAGATACTAGAGGGGAATGTAGGATGGAAAATGCTCTTTTCTGTTATTTATTTTAAAAACTTACTTTCGAAGACTTTGTGAAATGTAGTAAAAGATAAGAAGCTAGTCTCTGCCTTCAGGAACCTTCCAGCCTAGATGGGGAGAGAAGACATGCACACGGATAACTATGCTGTCAGCTCAGAGAAGGACAGACGCCATAATCCTCCAGCCAGAAGAGACTGGCAAGGCTTTGTGCAGAAGGTGTCTGTGGTGTTTGTTTACTCAGTTTGATGAACCCAAATAAGGCTAGTGATTAGGCATTTGTTTCTTATTCTATTATTGATGTGACTCGGGGTCTAAGAAGACAGTAGGACCACTGGGTGGGAGTTTCTAATTCTTTCCTGATGCAGAGATCTCGCAGGGACTCACCCCTCTGTACTTATATGGTTGACGCCACTCCCTCCCAACCCAGTTCTAAAAGCAGTGGCGCTAATCCCTAACTAATCAAGCTCTAGACTCAAACGAAATGAGAGGTGATTTGCTAACTTGCTTTCTAAATTGTTTTCTTACTTTTTTTGGTCCTCTCAGTTCCCGGTTTTACTTTCCTAAAGATGCATAAACGTTCAACATAGTGACTTGAGATCTCCATGTAGACCTGGGACTTTTATTAAACACAGAGTGATTGCATGACTCAAATCCTCACAGGCTGTGACAGGGCCCTGGAGGGCATGAGACATGAGATCATGTGCCATTGAAGTTTTCTCCAAAGTGACTTTTCATCTTCTCAAAGACCAGGGATTGTTTAGAGAGGAACATTGGTGAGAATCTAGAGTGGAAATGTCCCACTGCTCTGCAGCTAAACTTTGAATATTGTGAAAACTTTATAATCCTCACTTGCTTCTTAGGGAATCTGTAGCCAGATTTATGTTGGATTGTACACAAACCAAGACTGGTCCTTGGGCTGCCCATGAGCAGATGCTTAGCATGTGTGGGTAGGGTATTTCCTCCTCATCATGTGCGTAATTCCCTATTCATCTGGAATTTTCCATCTGGAGGGAAATATTTACATGAGTATTTTTCCAAAGAATTAGAAGACATTTAACAGGTAACAGTGCACCTTAAGCCTAGGCAGGACTTGTACCCACAGTGCTGTGGTGCTTTGGAAGGAAGCACGGCCAGGTGGCCACAGCCAGGGGACCTGTGGGACGGCCTGTACTCCCAGGGACTGCTGAGGAGTCAATAACATAGAGTCACTCTAGCTCTGGTTTGTCCTCACCCTCTTCTCACTTATGCTCGAGAGTCAGGGAGGGAGAAAAGATATTACACAGGAGATTGCTCAGATCTCCCTGCTGGAAGGAACTTGCAACAGCTTAGCGGGCCAACACATTCGTGTTGGAGGGCAGGTCAGTTCCACTCTCTGAGGCTTGGCTTTCTCATGAGTGATATTGGAACCAGAGGATTTTGAGTGAGTCAAATGAGCTGAGGAACTTGAAAGTACACATTTGAAAGGAGGGCTTTATATATAGCGTCACGTCTGAAACAAAAACAAGGTCACCTTGCTGTGGAGCTTGCAACCAGGTGTTACTGCCTTGACCTCTGCCTTTTAAAGTGAGTCAGGATCTGGTATCACCAAAGTGCAGGGAGCCAGGTTTTTGTTATTTGCTCCTCCTTGATCCTTTGCTTGACTTGTTCCAATGCTGGCATTTAGGTCATCTAGAAAATTTCCAGAGTCAGCAGGTAGTGTTTCCCTATTGAGCTGTTTTGTAAGACTGGACGCAGCTGGCGTGTCTGTCAAACCGCAGACACTTTAGCCCCGTCAGATCAGAAATAAGTAATATCCTGCTTCTTTCAACACAAACCTAGGTCTTTAAAGCAGAAAAAACACGTGTTAACCTTCACATGGGAAAGCACCCGGTGTTTATGGACATAGATCCATGTGACTATTTGTGCCAATAGGTAATGCCAAAAAGAAAAAAATATCCTCCATCTAAACAGAACAGAGAACATGGAGCATGCAGATCAGATATAATGATCTGAGTTTGGGTAATGGGCATTATTATTGTGGTTTCCTTGTTTATAAGGCCAGTGGCTCTCCTGGTTCTACTCGTTGTATTAAATAAGCAAAATTTTATTGACCACTGGTCATTGTACGTTTGATAGTTCATTAAAAAGCAAATAATGCTATTTTATAAAGAACTGAGGCTTGTTTAGCATTCCCTAAAAACGGGGATGTACTAAATTCTTATACATAATATTGAAAGTATATTATTTTGCTTGAATCATCTTCAGGTTTCTATGGGCAGTTGCCCTTTAATGTGGAAACATAGGCATACATTGGCTATTTCTGTACCCTGCCCCAATATAATCTACTTTAAGTCATTTTAAAAACCCAGAAGGATATAAACAAGCAAATACAATTAAAATTTGTGTAGCTATGGAGAAATCTGCTTGACGCAACAAAGACTTCATAAAACAAGAACCTACTTTTCATTGACTAGTAAATAGAAACTCAAATCACATTTTGTTTCCTTCATTCCAAGTCAGTTCATTCTCATCTTCTGAAATTGGCTATGAACTCATTTTTATTTGTTTAATGTAAAGTAGCTTTCTCCAATTTTTCTTCTGCTCTGGGATTTGCTGATCATTAGGGTTATTAGCATTAAATTTTCCTTCTGTGTTTTTAAACTTTTTATCTGACTCACAGCAACATACACGTTTTATGTCATGACCTCGTGCACACACACATATACACGCAAAAGTAACAAGGTTTTGGCAATACAGTACTTATCCTTACTATAAGCAGCACACTCTATTTTTCTACTTTATTTTATAACTTTATTTCTTTAAAAAAATGCCTGGTGGCAACCCTTCAAGTTGATTTCATGAGCCACTAATGGCTTACTGGAGTTCTGTCCTTTTTTAGACATGGAAAGAAGCTTTTCCAGAGTTGCAGATTTGTGTGTGTCCGCAGGTGGGGATGAGAGCTATCATCCCCACTCACTTTTTCTTCATACTCAAGCTGCATCCCCATCAAGCAAGTCTGGTGGGCACGAATGTTAGATCTGCTGTCCAGGCATTTCTGCCACTGATAGAAAGAAAACGTTAGGGTAGCAAAAGAAAAAAGAAAAAAGAACCCTGACCACAGCACTGGTTACTACCAGAGGGTAAAGACATCCTCTTCTGGCAGCAAACATACTCTCCAGGTAGCAGGCTGTTTGTGTTTCGGCTGATTAAATGTTCTGAATTTGGCTTATTAAACTGCCTGCATTCTGAAAAACTTGAGGTGGGTCAAACAGTGTGTTTTTCCAAGACTTTTAAAAGTACTTCTCCTCCAAACTCCTAATACCCCAAAACCTGAATTCAAATCTAATAGCTCAGGAAAGACATAGGTTTGCTAACTAAATTCGTTACTGAATACCTGAATATGGAAGACCAGAGCAAATAGAAAATCCCACTGGATGAGGCTATTTCTTGACCCCACTGCCTCCGCCTCAAAAGGAAAGAACATATAAAGAAAAAATTCACCCACAACCCCATCTTCTAGAAACGATCACTGTTAATATCTTTGTATGGGTCCTTTTTACTATCTATTTTTATGTGATTGTGACAGTTTGGATCCTTTTTTACCATTTAAGATTTAAAAAGTTGCATTTCATTATGTGGTTAAAAATGTCGTGAACAGCATTAGTAATGGCTGAATAATACCATATCCCACTGCGTGAACTTTCATTTACCTAACCAGCCTACTCAAGTAAGTAGTTTATAGTTTTTCCACTGTTATAAAGGGTGTGATGCAAATCTTTGTTCACGAAATGCTTTTCTGGATTTGGAATATTTCCTTAAGAGAAATTCTCAGAAGTGGAATCATCGGGTAGAAGACGGTTGAACCGTATTACCAGATTCCCTTAGCAGAGTCTGAGGGAGCCAGCTTTTCTATCCCCGGGCATCTGGGTTTTGGAGGCCTTGTTGTGACGGAGGCACGGACACTGGGCTCTCCAGGCAAACCAGAGACTTTGTGAGCCGCACGCAAGGCAGACCCAGAAGTATCCTTAAAATCCCGTTTGTCCTTGAATAGACATACTGTGTCACTAATAGAGGAAAAATGTTCTCTAGAAAACCTTGGTGTGCAAATACTTATTTTTAGGGGATGGGTGTGGTGGAATTTAAATAATCATTTCAATCACATTTTTAGTTTTATTGGTTTGGACTCTAAGTTCCATTTGGCTCATTACAAATAAAATGCTTATGAATTTATCCTCGTATTTTCAGCAATAGACAATTTGATGTTAAGTTCACGTGGTTGTAAACAGGGTTCCACCAAAATAATGATTTTCTTTTGTATTTTTATGCACAACTTCCCAGCCCTCCCTTTCCCAAAATAATAGACTTTATTAAATTGACACTTCTGCATCCTTGGAAATTTTCACTTCCAACTGGGATTTATTTGGCACGTTAAATATTTAGTCGTGGTGTTGAGATTGGGCAGAAGTTCCTGATAAATTTGGCTTTTCTTTCCTTGACATAGATTATTCTTCATTCTATGCACAAATACCAACCTCGAGTCCACGTCATCCGTAAAGACTGTGGAGATGATCTTTCTCCCATCAAGCCTGTTCCATCTGGGGAGGGAGTGAAGGCATTCTCCTTCCCAGAAACTGTCTTCACGACCGTCACCGCTTATCAGAATCAGCAGGTATTGTTCTCAGAATTGGTATCTTTCTAGACTTTTCATTTCAGGTGTAAATAGAAAGCTTTTCTATTATATATATATAATCCTTTATATATACAATATCTAAGCTTTTCTATTGTATATATATTATATATATATATAATCCTTTCACTGTATCCAAATGTTATGAATTGTCACAAAGCAGTTGCCCTATATGACGTCCAGAGTATACAGATTCTAATAACAATTCTTTATCCATAACTCCTCAAGTAGTCTACTCCAGTGAGGATTTCTTTAGACAAGAATGTGTCTCATGACTGATGGTGTAAGTTTACTTTCCATTTTGAGATGTTGTGTCATGATGCCGTAATTAACATTGGAAAAGCTGAGCATTGCCTAGGAAATAGACATGTAAAATACGAAACGTGATTTGTAAAGCAGAGCGTGGGATTCGGTAGCTCAGTTTATTTTAAAACTACAGTTCATGTATTATGAAAAATATTTCAGAAGCATTTATATATATAGTCATTTTGGTATAGTTACAAAAAGGGCGATTTCTTTCAAGATATGCTTTCGTTGTGCTAGAGGGTGCTGGGCAAGCTTATAGTCTGAGAGATCAGCGATGGTGGAGTAGTCCTTTCAGAAAATTATAAATAATTTGAGAAGTGACATATGTCTTTTTATATGTGTAAGCATGAACATTTCTTTGAGGCTGTGTCAAGTAGGTAGAGAACTGAATGGAGGCAATTATTTAATCCATGCAATTCTGGCCAGTTTTCATAAGGAACAGCAATGTAGTTGACACTGATGTGGTCGGTGGTAGATTTTCTTTTTTAATTTCAGTGGTCAGCAGAATCATGTTAGGTCCCCAATTCTCCTCACATTTACATTCATCGCAGTTAAAATTTTAAGGCTTTATAATCCCTCTGTTGTGGTTTCTGTTGTTTTGAAGCTTCGAAGAAGATTCTGACCCCATCCCGCGTGTCCTCCTTCAGGGCTGAGCAGCTTGTGGCTCTCGCCCCCACGGAGACACCAGCCCCACAGCCGAAGCTGTCTGTCCTCATGCTCACATTGCCATGCATCTATAGAGGCTGTTAGGAAGAGACATGAAGTCTACCTTTAGGAGGGCTGGAGATAAGGAGGAAGATATTCTTAAAATGTGTTAGGTGCAGAAAATGATTTCTTTTTAAGGAAAAAGTAATGCGTGAGGAGTAAAGAAGAGAAGCATTTAGTACCTTTTTAACAACCCCAGTGCATCTTCTTTCGCTGTCTCTGTCTCTCTCACATATACACATATAAACAGTGTTATATGTCTGTTTTCTCCCATCTTCTGTGATACAGTAAACAGAGGCAGTGGGCTGTTGGTACGTGCTGGTGACTAACACCGATTAGCAAATGTTGATAAGTCAATTAGGAGGGTGGAAAAATCAGAAGGTGGCAAATTGATAATGATAAAATGCAATCATGTTCATTTTTTAACTTCCCACTACTCTTTTGAAGAACTTAAGGAAAATTGGTAAGCCTGGTGGTTAACAGCATGGGCTCTCAAGCCTGGGGTCTCAGCCTAGTCCTACTGCCTAGTAACTTATGATTGTAGGAAACTTAAACCTCAGTTTAAAAGAAAACATAAAGTTGGGATAATAGCTACACGTAAGTTGTCATGAAAATTGAATGAAATAATATGCGTAAAACTCCTAGTATAGCATACATGGTATGCACTCAATAGATGTTATGTTAATAATAAAAATAATGATAATTGTGATATATCTCTATTTAGACAATTCACCATTATATAAATCTGTACTCTTTAAAAATTCTATTTTAAGTAAACATTTAAATTATTTAATGTTACTGAACATTTAAATGAACAGAGAATCACGCTATAATGATTCATAATGAATTCCTTCAATGCCATTGTCAGACGTGGTGGATTAATTAGCAAACCCTTACATTATATCATTTATAATGTAGTTTTATCCACATGCGAAGACAATACCACATGGAGCACATGTATCTTAGGTGTTGCACAGATGAATGGAGGATGGCTGAGCACACACAGGACCATATGGGGGATTGCAGATGACTTTCCAAAGATGCCTTTCTTGCCTTAGTGTTACCCAACAGTGTTCATCCTTAGCCAAGTGGTGCAATCAGAAGTATGTTCATTAACTTTGTGCATTCCACTGAACCAAGGAACGTAGAAACAAAACATGATGTGCCTCTTAGAAAATGGGCTGTCAGTCCCTTTGGGCAAAGTGACGGTCTGGTAAGAAATGGATGGGATGTTATTTATTAGTGTCAATTTTAAGATGGTGTAGCTGAAAACAAGTCGCTTTTAATGAAGACACTTAGACCACTTGTAAAAGTTTGCCCCCAAATCTTGAGGTCTTAGTGTGCAAAAATCTGGTCAATAAATTAGAACTGTAGCTAAAGTTATCTTTTGGAGCTGGCCCCATGGTGTAGTGGTTAAGTTCAGCACACTATGTTGGCAGCCTGGGTTTGCAGGTTCAGATCTTTGGTGCAGACCTACAGCACTTGTTAGCCATGTTGTGGTGGCAACCTACAAACAAAATAGAGGAAGATTGGCATACATGTTAGCTCAGGGCGAATCTTCCTCAGCAAGAAAAAAATAATCTTTTATTTCTACTACAGGTATAAGATTTACCCACTAGAACCTTCATATAGTGGTTACCTCTGGTTAGACATTCACTGTAATGTGCTGACTAGGTCAGGACTCCACAGATAAAAGAAGAGAGAGTAAAACTTTCAGATGAGAGCCACAAAGATGATTCAAGGAGAAACAAAGAAAAATACGGAGGCAGGAAATTTAAAGGAGTTATTTAATTCTGAAGAAGACAAGGCTTCGTAGGAGCCTGACAACATTCAAGTGTATAAATGGCTGTTAAATAGTGGTTGGAGATTAGCTGTTCCCTGTCACCACTGTTGCAAGAGAAACAGGATTAAATCATATCACAGAATTAAAGGGAAGAACTCTAGTTCAGAGGGATTGTCGCACAGGGCAAAGTGTCCGCAGATGATTCAGAATCTCCTTCTCTAACGATGTGAAATGCAAAACAAACTTTTTTCTATTTGGAGCTTGAATAGGGGTGGGAGTGTGTCTTTTTCATAGATGTTCTAGATGATTTCTGAAATTTTCTTCTAGCTTTGTTGCTAAGATAATAAAATACCTGGAAAATAGGGGAGAGAAACACAATAGAATCCTCTGACAGTTAGTTTTGGAATTACTTGTAGCTCTTCCATCATTTCCATTTATAATCACCTTGGCATTTGTAATAAGATTTGATGTGATCTTTTTTTCTACTCTGCAGATCACTCGCCTGAAGATAGATAGGAATCCATTTGCCAAAGGCTTTCGGGACTCTGGACGGAACAGGTAGCATTCTGGTGGTGATAAATATATCTGATTTTTTAATTGTGAATTTTCCATTACAAAGCAACCAGTTAAATTTGCTGACATGGTTTTGCAATCATTTCTGATGAGGTTAAATTCGTTAACACTATCGGGTGTTGGACGTAACTTATTTCGGGTGTAGAGTTGTGACCCGCATGTTCCTAATGGGAACTTTGATGTGCAATGCTGGGGTGAAAATGGAAGCTCTTGGGGTACAGAGTGTGAGCTGCCTCTGAAGGGTCCATGGGGAGCCTGCCTTACGGGCCAGGGGCTTCAGTATCCCGTCAATATCTTCTCTGCATCTGCTCTGGGTTTAGAATTAGCGATGTTACAATCATCTCTTGATTCTGCCTTCAGAGTATGATGAAGTCTCTTGTTCCCTCAGACTTCTAACTAGAATATGAAACCGCTCCCCATTGCCAAGAGAGCTGATGTTCTTTAGTTTCCAAATTTGTCTTGGCTCGGCTGACAGCCACACACTTGTTTATTTTTTCTGTGTCGTGTTTTATGGTGTTTGTACTAAGTGGGAGAGCTACAACAATGAATTCCACTCTATTAATTTTATCAAAAAGCAGATCACCCTAGTCTGTGTGCCAAGAGTTTTTTTGAATTTATTGATATGCTTCTCTTCCAATATAGTTTGGTGCAACATTTTCTAAAATAACTGTTGATTGTAATAGACAATAATAGACAAACATTCTCCAAATGCCTTTTCAGGGTAAGGCTTTGACGTAAATGTTTTTAAGAACATTTTGTTTTTAAAAAGACCTGTGTGTGTGATTTTTATTACTTTATTCCAGAAATTATTCTAATACTCCATGAAAACTTGATATTGATAAGCTGTGTCTACATGAAGTCAAATCCCCTATTATCTTATTTTAGGGACAAGTTCATTTAAAGTTTTAGAGAGAAAGCAAGCTGGTGGTAGTCCAGATTTTTAGTTCTTTCAGCTGATTAATTGGAGTAGGTAGGTGTAGACACAGACCGTTTCTCAGAATACATTCAAGTGCTTGCAGAATCCCGATTTCATCTTCATATAGGCATTGTTTAAACACCGTGCAATGTCAGGACTAACATGCGACTAAAATGCATCGACAGCAGAGCAGCCTTTAGCTCAGTGCAGATAGATCGACAAGACTCACTACTCACAGGGCTTCCCTCTGAAGTTCCCCGCTCTGAAGGGAGAGTGGCAGGTAGTGCTGAAACGCGGTGTCTGCTGTATGGAAAGTATTCTGTCTTTTTACATGTCTGTTTCAAGGGGGAGAAGAACTTTGCTTGGCTTTTGTTATCTTACATTAGCTCCTGGTTGACTTTGCTTTTCAGAGGAGTTTCTGAAAATCGAACAATTTAGTAACTGAGATGGTCACTGGTGAGGTGACTGAAGGGAGCTTTGGGATGACTCCTTTTCCACTGTGACAAATACTTTGATGGAATCTTCTTGTGGTTTTGGTTATAGAAGAATAGTATTTATTGCTTGCAGTTCATTTTTCTTAAGCAGAGAATAAATATATTAAAACTCGCTGAAAGTCCAGGAGGGCGGCACTGCAGCTTGGAGAGACAGCCGGGAGCTCTGTCCGAGACCTCCTGGAGGGCAGCTCTGGCAGAGGCCCCACTGCTGTTCACACTGCTTGTACCCTATTTGCTCATTTTGAAGCAACAAATTAAAACGTATTTTTAAAGGTATATTTTTGGTAGGTAATAATAATGAATAAACCTTCTACAAGGAGAAGCGTGATGATAAGATGCATATGACAAGTTTTCGGGAAGAATCCTAGATTTGTCAGCATAATGAAAAGATATTTGGTTTTCAAAATTTGGTCAGTGAAAAACATGACTGGCATTGGTGAAAATGAATTCAGTCCCTTGTTTGGTATGGTAAGGTCAAAATGCTAAGTTTGATATGAATTTTTTCCTTCCTTTTGGCTGTTTCAGGAGTATATTAGCGTGGCATCATGGTGCTTGCTACTATTTCTTTCCTGACTCTAAAACTTTTAAAGTTTTTTAATGGACATACAGAAAACAATGAATTATATATTAACACTTTTAAAATTTTGTTAAAATTTAAGATTTTTATTTTGCTCCAGATGTTTAAACAATATCTCAGTACAGGGAAAACATATTGAGTCTATTCTTAGCTTTCTTGTTAGTGAAATGAGTAGTTTTACCTTTTTTCTCATTAAAATTACTTGTCCTGCTTATCACAGATAAGCTCATCAGTGCTCACTTTGGAATGCTAAATATCTATAAATCAAGATTGCCCATGTAAAAAAATCTGATTTTAACACTTTCCATTGATAAATGCAAAAGATACTTACATGGAGAAGAGAGAATTTGGTCAGCTTTAAATATTTCTAACTTATGTATTATTTTCCTTAAGAAAAACAGAGTCTGAATTAGATGTAAGCCTTGGAAGGTGCTTGGTGTTGAGGGCTTGGGGAGAGGGCGTGTTTTTTCCTGTATTAATAGAGAAGAAAGCCCCTGAGAAGAAATTCAATACATTTCTTAATTATTCCTGGTTCTGTTGTGTTTTTGTTATTGCTTTTTAAAATAGATTCTATTTAAATTTTTCCCCATACATGAAATAAACAAATTGAGCAGGACCAGAAATAAACATGGTCTTGTGACTTTTTTAAACTTTATAAAACAATTGCTTTAATTAAAAATTATCCCTTCCTGGCTGTTTATGGTTCTACAGCCTATTTTATAGGAATCAGTAGCTTCAGCCCTTAAAAGCTCTCCTGCAAGACATTCGCTACGTGAAAGAGAATTTATGTGCTGAGAATAGCTTCATTCTTCAGTTAGGCCTTAGGTTTGACCCTATAAAATTTTTTACTCAGGAAGGTACAAAAATTTCTTCTCTTTAAATACTTCAGGAAAAACAACCATTTTACTAAATAAACTTGGCCATTTGATAGCATAAATTAGGGTGGTGATAAAAAGTGGAAATTGTTCAAAGGCATCTTGTATAAATTATCGCCTTCGCTACACTCCTGCAGGAGGTGCCTTTTATCTTTTCTTTAACTGGCCAGGAAAAGTCTCCATTACTGGAGAAAATGAAGGCTTTTTTAAAAAAAAGTCCAGATTCAGCTAATAAATATTTTATAACTATTTCCTGCAAAATAGCCTGAAATCCTTTCTGGAGCTTGCAGTGTGAAATAGCAGCCTCAAGAAAAACATGAATAACTTCAAATCAAAGCATTTGTAGATATGTCACCTAAGAGCATCTCTTTAAAGCTTAGGGTTCTATGCTTGTGATGATCAATAACTTCTCCCTAAGAATTTGGTCCACAGATTTGTATTTGAAGCATAACGAAGTTTGCGCTGCTAAAGCAAATAATGCAGTAATGCTCATCTCTATAGTTAGTAAATTTCTAAGTCCAGTGGATACTCATTACTTACCTCTTAGTCAACTCCCCTTGAAACCACTCCATGACCACTTTGGTATCCTTAATATTTAAAACTATGATTACTAAAACTCATCTATGTGATAATTAAAAAGCAGTTTTATATAAAACTGTGTTCTAACATTCTTTTGCATTTAAAGAAGCTTGTTTCTGGAAAGTCATAAAAATTTAGTATTAGCACAAGCTAAATATAATCAGCTAAACAGCACCCAGCATTCATTAGTCAAGTATTACATGCAACCCGCAGGCTGCATGGGGTTTGGGGACTGACCAGGCTGCCAAACTGCCCTCAAATCAGTACTTGAATATCTATGAAATAGTACTGAGTGGCGTGATCTTGGATTTGGCTGGAAGTCACCTACAGAAATGATGTCTGGTTTGGGAAAAGTCACTTTGTAGCAAAGAACGTTAGAGCTAAGAGAGGATGCAGAGCTTCTGTATTCTGATCCTCACTTCCTGTGAAACTGAAGTCCAGGGAGGTTAAAACATTTGCTCAAGGTCACACAGTGGGTTTTAATGAGTTGCAGTCACGGCCCAGTTCTCCGGAACCCCAATCCAGTGTCCTTTCCACTAAATAGTCCTGTGGCTGTGGCACACTGATTACATGCACAGCCAGACTCTGCCCCTCCCTCTCAGAGTAGCCCACGTGGGGCACGTGCAGGTCCACTCTGTGCCCTGCTCTCCCCTTGGCAGCCCAGCATGAACACCTGTGTGGGGATGCTGACGGCTCTTTGAAGCACTCCCAGCACAGCACCCCCCTGAACCTGTGACTTCAGAGATGACTCAGCCCCATGAGTGGACTCACGTGAGGATGGTTCATGCACGCAAGCCTGTGCATGCACACACGCCACCCGTCCACACACACAGCTGTCTCCTTCTATCATTAAGATGGGATAGTCATGTGCCTCATGCAGTCATGACAGAAATCAACAAATTAATGGAGACTATACTCCAAACATTCTAAGGAAGCAAATTTCATGTGTAGAACCTTGGAACAGAAGGGCAGCTGACATGGTTTAATCTGCACAGTCACTTGCCATGGGTGTTTAGAGAGCTTTCACCATGTTGTGTAGGTGGCACGACTCTGTGGGGCAGCTTCCTCTAGTCTTAGTTCATAGTCATGACTTGGGGATGCAGGAAATCCAGAGGAGGGAACATGTTGAGTCTAGGCTATTAAAGATAGGTTCTCTCTTTAATATCTGCATTAAATACAGATTGTCTGTATTAAATAAAACTGTATCTAACAAGCACAAGAGATGTCTGAGTATTGTTTGACACTCAGGAAGCAGACATTCCCCACAATGGAGCTGTTTCTTGAAAAGCACAATGTTATCTAGATTAACAAATTGCTTAGGACTGAGGTGGTCAAGGGAAATGTAGTGAGGTCTGGAGAATGGGTTATGGAGTGAAGGGCCTCATTTCCAGAACCCAGAGAACTCAGTTATCTGATATAAAGAGGGGAAGACTCTGAATCACGTATGGTAGGAGACTTATGTATCTAGTTAGTGTAGTTGTCCTTGTTTTAAAATATGCATATATCATGTAAGTAGTCCATGACCCACTTATCCTGTCTCTTTACATATCCATTCATGAAGTGTATGTAGGGGCCTTAACATCATGTCTGATACTGATCCTAGCTGCATATCCCAGATTGCCCTGTGAGATCTCCTTTCTGCCATCCTCCCACACACGGGACTGCAAGGCCAGTCCTGCTCACCCTGGACCTCCTGTTGCTGGAGGGAGAGCCCACCCTTGCTGCCCTGGGTGTGGAAGAGATCGTGCCCTGAGAGAGAAGTCCGTTTCCTTTGGATGAGTGCTGTTTTAAGCTGGCTGCCGAGGCACCAAAAGATGGCATAAGTGCCTCTCAGACAAGAGGTGGCTTTCCAGGGACATGCTTTTGTGGTAGAGCTTTCCTCATCAGATGGAGAAGTAATGTAAGTTCCAGAGCACAGCAGAGCCTTGGACTCATCAGCTAGGATGGAAGCTCTTCACCTCAGCTCCTTAGCCCAAGGAGACAGCTTTTTAACCCCCGAGGCTGGCTTAGTTTTCTGAGAACATTAGCAGGACATCTTGTTGGCTTCCATTCTTTAGTGCTCCTGGTGGCAGAATAGTAGCCCATCTCTGAAGCATTTCTTTCTGCTTGTGCCCAGCTCCTAACCTGCCAATGTGGGGGCCTTGTCAACACCAGTGGTGTGTTCTGAGCTACTTATTACTGGTGAAAGCTCCAACTGCTCCTAACTAGGCTTCTTTTGTCCATCCCCATCCTGACTCTTCCATTTAGAATGGGTTTGGAAGCCCTTGTGGAGTCCTATGCATTCTGGAGACCTTCATTGCGGACTCTCACCTTTGAAGATATCCCTGGAATTCCCAAGCAAGGTAAATCACAACGTCTCCTGGGTCACATACACAGCCAGTTCCTGCCAAGAAGCTCAGGCACTGAAAAACGCACAAGTCACTATTTACATGTACAATGGCGACCCCAGCACTAACATTGTCCTGTTACAGGTTCCATCTCTCTTCTGTGTGGTATGGAGATGAACCACGAGAAACGGCTGTTGTGGTTGTAGGTTAAGTCTCGGATGTTTTAGGCTATCTATATATTTCATGACCTTTACCTCACGCTTAAATCTCCTATTAAAATTAGAAGTGGACTAGTGGGCTCTGGTGCCAGGTGCACCTCATGCGAAATCGCCAATGCCCGTCCCAGTTCACCCTGTCTTGCCAGCTTCTTTCTTCTCTTCCTTCAGCAGAATCCCCTCTAGGCAGGGTTATTTTGTTGGGTTTATGATGAGAAGTTCAGGCCCACTCAGGCAGACTTCCTTGGGCTCACCTCTGAGTATTTCCCACAAGTCAGGGCTGGTGTTTCCTCAGAGGGAGCTGCCTGCAAAGGGATGACACTTCCTTCTCTGCTCAGTACATAGGACTCTGGCCCACCCCTGCCCTCATGCTCTTTACAAGGATCCTGCGCAGCACCCCGGTGAGAATTTCACATGCTGGGTTTTAGGTAATTATCATTGGTTGAATTGGGCTTTTAGATTATTTTCAGAAGCTATATAAAACACTGTCACTAGAGCAATGAAGGTTTTACAACCTGTCCAGCCCCTTGGAATTCTCCTCCCTGCCTAAGTTCTGTCAGGTTTGCAAACATCAATCTGCCAGCAGATCCAGAGACAGGGAGCCAGCCCCACCACCATTATTGATTGGAGGAAGGTTAACCACCCTCTGTAAGTTTCACAGGGCTGTTTCTTTGCTGAACTTCTGCTCTTGTGTTAACATGTGATTCACCAACCTGTTTTCTGGTTGGAAATGAAATTTTTCAAGTTCTAGACTATTGCCTATTGCAATAGCCAAGCACTGCATGCTATAGTCACTGACCACTGACATGCACAAGCTTGCAGTGGGCAGCTGCAGAGATGTTTGAGGCTGGATGTGCCTTTGACCAGTTTTGGCTCTTTCCTTTGAGTTCCTTCTTTTTTCTTGCAAGAAAATATATTGATCCAGAGCAAGCTCTGCTAAAAGAAAGGGTAAAAGGTGGTTAGAAGAGAGGCAATGGATACACTTTTGGAACAAGATGCAGAATAAGATGAAATTTTTTTTCTGTAAAGTTGCTTGGAAAGTCAGTATTTGTAATATTTATTAAAGTAAATGAGCTAATTGAAAAAGCTAATTGAGGGAGAAAATTCTATGTAGTAGTGTCCTAACACTTCTGCAATAATAATATAAAAAACCCATCAGTCCCTGGGGAGATAATTTGCCTTGAAAATATTGAGAGGATCTGTGTTTAAAATATTTCAGTCTGAATTCACTTCAATAATTCCTTGAGAGCCGAGACTATCTCCATTTCATCTTTATAGCTTCCCTTGTCACCAGCCGTGCCTAGCTCGTGTTTACAAAATTGAAAGCAAAAGACTGCTGTGGAGTCAGTGCTCTTTACGTGTCACCTTGTTTTTGCAGGAAACACAAGTTCCTCCACGTTACTCCAAGGTTCCGGGAATGGCGTTCCGGCCACTCACCCTCATCTTTTGTCCGGCTCCCCTTGCTCCTCGCCTGCCTTCCATCTGGGGCCCAACACCAGCCAGCTGTGTAGTCTGGCCCCGGCTGACTACTCCGCCTGTGCCCGCTCGGGGCTCGCCCTCAACCGATACAGCACATCCTTGGCCGAGACCTACAACAGGCTCACCAACCAGACCAGCGAGACCTTCGCCCCGCCCAGGACTCCTTCCTACGTGGGCGTGAGCAGCGGCGCCTCGGTGAACATGTCCATGGGCGGCGCTGACGGGGACACCTTCAGCTGCCCACAGACCAGCTTGTCCATGCAGATTTCGGGGATGTCCCCTCAGCTCCAGTACATCATGCCTTCACCCTCCAGCAACGCCTTTGCTACTAACCAGACCCATCAGGGTTCCTATAACACTTTCAGGTTACACAGTCCCTGTGCCTTGTATGGATATAACTTCTCTACATCCCCCAAACTGGCTGCCAGTCCTGAGAAAATTGTTTCTTCCCAAGGAAGTTTCTTGGGGTCCTCACCAAGTGGGACCATGACCGATCGGCAGATGTTGCCCCCTGTGGAAGGAGTACACCTGCTTAGCAGTGGGGGTCAGCAGAGTTTCTTTGACTCTAGGACTCTAGGAAGCTTAACTCTGTCATCGTCTCAAGTGTCTGCACATATGGTCTGATGAAGCCATTAAGTTAAACTACATTCGAATCTAATGTATTTTCTTTCTTCCTTTCCTTTTTATTTTTTTTTGGAAAGCAATAGGATAAGAAACTATCAGTAGCTTGTAAAATGTACATATAATAGAAAATGAAGGCTCACTGACTTGTTTGACTTTCTCATGGTGAGACTGTAATTATCTATGGTATAGATGTATACTGTATATAGCATGTGGAGTTTTGTGGCCGGCAAAACCACATCCTCCCTCTATTTTTTCTCCTCGTTCATCCAGTTGCATAGAGTATTGGCATAAATATGGTATTTTTAACCAGAGTTCTCAGATTCTTTCAAAAACCAAATGGCAAACGTAAAACTTGGCATTGATACCAACCATACTAAGACTTACAACTTAATTTATCAGAAGGATGCTCTACACAGTTTCATACTTGAGCGTTGATAACCAGCAATAACCAGCACACAGAGACTAGTGATTTCTGCTTTTCTTGGGCACATGTGGGAACCTACTGCAAAAGCCAGTTGAAGTCTTAGTATTGGTTCTGAGGTCTTTGTGATTATGAAGGATTAACTTTTGTCTTCCTGCTTGTTCTTATTTATCACAGATATTAGGTGACCTTGGGTCTATAAGAATCCATAACCCGTAGTAATTGTTTTCTTAAGGAAGATGGAGAAGAGGCTTGTGTTTTTTTTTCACTTTTCATTGGGCCTATAGAGGTATTTCTTCATCTGCGAAGAATAAATTTCCAGTATTTTGGATTTTTTGCTTATTTTATTAGTTTAAGTAGACAATTAAAGAATGTTCTATACACATTTTTAATTTCAAATTTTCACCAGGGAAGGAATATGTGGTATCAGTGGAATGGCAAAAAGAAAATAGATCCACCTCAAATTCTTGGATGCCAGTGAGAAATGTCTGTCTTTTTAAATCAAGAGGAATAATATCATCAGGTAGTCTTTGGACTTTGTAGTGCGTATTCCCATTCAGGATGTTTTTCCATCTTGCTTTGAGATTCCTGACCCATGGTCTATCAGTAAGGAAAAAGACATTTCTGCTACTTATGTCTCGAAACTCCTACAAATTCAGACCTCACCCTTCCTTAACCTTGTCCCTCTGTCTGAGTCTTTCCCAAAACAGATCGATTCTGGGCCTTTACGGTGTTAAATAACGCTGTAAGGAATTTCAGGGGGTTATCTCCAGCAATCTGTCTTTTGGGGGTTGTAGTGCAAAGGCCGAGGCCCATTCCTATAAAAGCCTCTTGGAGGACTGGGGAGGAAGATACTAATTATGATAAAGGAGCTATAAAACTTTTAACCTCAACAGCATTTTTAACCTTGAAACTGGAGCAATGAAAACACCATTATTTTTTTTTAAATCACTAAAATAGTGTGTACGTGGTTTAAGTTTTCAAAACAAGTAACTTTGATAGCACATTGTGAAATGAATAGGAAAGGCTAAGAATGCATAATGAGGAGGTTACCTATGTCTGTTGAGAAACTGATACAATGTGTCTGTCCGTTGACTCATTGCATTTCACATATTTGCCAAGCTAAAACTGTGATTTCCTTTTGGTGCTAAACAGAATTGCTTTAACTCATCCTAGTTTAGATGGGGAAAGTGTATGGCTCCTGGTTTGCCTCTTTACTTTAAAACAGCACTGCTGTTAGGTATTTAGGGGGATTACTCTTTGAACAGTATTTGCACAGGAAATGATCTGTTTATAGGTAATGACAAATTTCCTCACAGATCCTGTAACAATTCGTCAAATTAGGATTAATTTTTAGATTTAAGGTTAGCATGAAGGGACATGAAATATTTCCAAAGGCAGGTCTGTAGAAGATTTTGTGTATGGCATGAATACCTTGACCAAGATTTGGGAAAAGTCCTCATGAGAACATCCCAGCCTCAGTGCTTGGTATAATTCAAGGAGAACAAGAAAGTTTTCCATCTTGAGAAAACACAGAAAGTAATGATCTATACCCATATGTATTAATAAGGAGAGCATTTTCCTTTTTGTGGTTGGTGATTTAAGTTGACACCATAATATGAGTAGAATTTTTTATTAATCTTTTTTTTTTGTAAAATTTAGCAATATTGTACAAATGCTATTTCCTTTAGGTTTTACTGTAAATATTAATCACCATGTCACTTCAAAGACTAGTCTTTTATCCTTATATTAAATGCCATACATGCATTGATAATTATAATTATATATCTGTATTTTATTAAAAAAGTGCCTAAGAAATTATATATTAAAGTGTGTTACTAAACCCTTTTATGACTTTGGACGGTAATCATTTAAAATGTCTGTAAGTGTTGTTCCAAGAATAAGCACACACCCCAAACACAAACTCTGTAGCTTTCAATTACAGGGCATGGAGAAATGGGCCTGGTGTTCATTTCTCACGTGTTAAATATAATTTCTTACCCTGACCATGTCATTGAAGGTGAAGCCCTGACAAATGTTGAACACATGAAAATTCAAATGTGAGAAGAGGAGGGCAGAGTGGGATGTTTTGTTTCGGGTCCAGGGGAGAAGGGCAAGGATACAAGAATGAGCTGCTTGTACCACTGACCAGTGATGACAGATCACTTCTAAGCCCCTTGACTGGAAAACATTCCAAGGGACATTGTGATGAGGTGAGGTTGCGGCTATCACAACCAGTCACATTTTGAAAATTAACACTTGCTTCCATACAAGCTCCCTCCCAGGGGTCAACATCTTTTCACGAGCGGGGCACCCAGTTGCTGACCCCAGATTTCTGGAATGTAGGGGGTCAGGAGACTTTGGAGGCCCCCAGAGGAGGTTGGGGCACAGTGTTGCTGATATAGCAAAGGATCATACTCACTCTTTACATTCATTAGTGAAATTTTGAGCAAAAGGAATCTCACTTTTAAAATGTGAATACCTTAGTCATCGTCCACCATACTTAAACCTATCAGCAGCTTACACCATAGTGTGAATTTGATAAGCAGAAGCTTTGGAGATAGCTGGAGATTTTATTAGGTGAGAAAAGTAATTTTTGGAATAAGGCAATTCTGGGAAGATTTCAATAGGGAGGAGAAGGTGCAAGAAGAGGCATCTCAAACCAAAGCTGTCATGGAACCATTAAAAATACTCATTTCATGAGCTTCTTTCAGGAGTCATGACAGAGTTCATGGATGCTACACCAATGCTCTCTCTGATTAGACATGTTTGTGAAGAAAATTTTATCTCAAAGTGTAACAAGTGCTGGGTTTCCTCATGAAGAATGCATTGACTCATCTACATAAAGCTTTTCCTAAGCCTTCCATTGGAAATGAAATAATCTTATTAAGTTATTACCATGCTGTGTTTTACTTTCATTGATCACATTCTTAAAAATAGCTGCTCAGATAAGTTGACAGTGAAGTTGAATATGTGGACAGTTAAGCAGACATACAAGATTGCAGCCTTCCAGGAGGTCAAAGCTTAGAAACATTATCAGTGATGGAAGTGAACCAAAAATACATATTCAAGTAGAGAAAGATCCAACAGATATAATAACTTGGTATCCCTCTACATGCCGATAGATTTTCAAATAATGTTTGCTTTCTTTCAAGTTTTGGTGTGATGAGAACATCATTTCCTTGAGCTTTAGGGAACTTGGTTTCAAACTATGGGTTCCCAATTATGATTTTGAGCAAAAACTTAACCACTTTAGGTCTCAGTTTTCTTATGTGTGAAAGGAGCAGCTGGGATGAGAATTTTTAATGTTCCTTCCAGTTTCAAATTCATATGATCGGGGCCGGCCCAGTCGCGAAGCAAAGTTCCGCACGTTCGGATCCCGGGTGCGGACATGGCACCGCTCGGCAAGCCATGCTGTGGCAGGTGTCCCACGTATAAAGTAGAGGAAGATGGGCACAGATGTTAGCTCAGGGCCAGTCTTCCTTAGCAAAAAGAGGAGGATTGACAGCCGATGTTAGCTCAGGGCTAATCTTCCTAAAAAAAAAAAAATTCATATGATCCTAGTGTATAAATAATATTCAGTTTAATATTAGGAAAATACTTTTATAAAACTATTATATCTTTTGGAATATATATTTATATTTTTGGACACATATCTATATCTCTACAAAGAACATAATACCACCAGGATTATTTAAAATTTATTGTCTTATTTAGAACTTACTGTTTAAATGGAATTGTGCATTATTTAGTTATAATATGTAGGACATATTTTAGTATTTTAATATTTGAAGGAAACTGTACTTAATGTATTTGCTACTTTATAGTGAACAGAAAAAGATATTAATAAAATTTCCTTTTCATGATGCTTTAATTGCATGGCATAAAATTAACTCACTTTGGAATAAGTATGGCATCTAGTAAAATATCTAGACATCATTCCAAGTCCATTTAAAATACATTTCAATCCTCATGGAGAAAACACTTGAACTTGTCTTTTTGAAGAGTTTTATTCATGCTGAGACTCAGACACAATAATATGAAACAGTTGATTGCTCTGCAATTCGTTGACTTTATACAAGGCTGGATCAACATACACATCCTATGTCCATGTTTTAAATTATATTAATTAGGTCACTAGAATAACTTAATTATAAGCCCAAGACAATTTTTCTAAATAACAGCCTTATTGAGATGTAATTCATAAACCATACAATTCACCTACTGAGAGTGAAAAATTCAATGGTTTTTAGTATATTCAGAGTTGTGCAACCATCACCACAATCAATTTTAGAACATTTTCATCATCCTGCAAAAAACTTCATGCCCATTAACTGTTGCCTCCATTTTCTCCCACCCCTTCATAACCCCAAAGTCTTAGGCAACCACTAATCTACATTCTGCCCATAGATTCGCCTATTCTGACATCTCATATAATGGAATCGTACAATATGTGGTTCTTTGTGACTGGCTCCTTTCACTTAGCATAATGTTTTCAAGGTTCGTTCATGTTGTAGCATGTATCAGCATTTCATTTCTTTTTATTGCTGAATAATATTCCATCGTAGGTATATACCACATTTCTGTTATCCATTCATCAGTTGATGGACATTTGAGTTGTTTCCATTTTTTAGCTGTTATGAATAATACTGCTAAGAACATTGGTGTACAAGTTTTTGTGTGGACATATATTTTCATTTCTCTTGGGTATATGCCTAGAAATGGAATTGCTACGTCCTGCTGTAATGTTTTGAGGAACTTTCAGACTGTTTTCCAAAGTGGTTGCTCTATTCTGTGTCCTTACGAGCAATGTGTAAGGATTCTGACTTCTTTATATCCTTACTAATAGTTGTTATTATCAACCTTTTTTTTTTTTCTTTGATGAGGAAGATTCACTCTGAGCTAACATCTGTTGCCTATCTTTCTCTTTTCTTGCTTGAGGAAGATTAGCCCTGAGCTAACATCTGTGCCAGTCTTCCTCTATTTTGTATGTGGGTCACCACCACAGCATGGCTTGATGAGGGGTGTAGGTCCATGCCTGGGATCTGAACCCATGAACTAGGGCTGCTGAAGAGGAGTGCACTGGACTTAACCACTATGCCATGGGGCCAGCCTCCTCAACCTTTTTTCTTGGTGAGGAAGATAGTCCCTGAGCTAACACCTGTTACCAATCTTCCTCTTTTTGCTGAGGAAGATTGTCCCTGAGCTAACATCTGTGCCAATATTCGTCTATTTTGTATGTGGGATGCAGCCACAGCATGGCTTGATGAGTGATGTGTAGGTCTGCACCCAGGATCCAAACCCATGAACCCCAGGCTACCAAAGCGGATCACGAGAACTTAACAATTATGCCACCGGGCTGACCACCCCCCCCCCCAACCACAACCTTTTTGATTATTGCCATCCTGGTGGGTGTGAAGTGGTATCTCATCATGGTTTTCATTTGCATTTGCCTGATTGCTGATGATGTTGAGAATCTTTTCATGTGCTTTATTGACCATTGTGTATCTTCTTTAGGGAAATGTTTACTCAGATCCTTTGCCCATTTTTAATTGTGTTCTCTTTTAATTATTGAGGTTTAAGAGTTCTTTATATATTCTAGTTACAAGTCTCATCAGCTTTATGATTTGGAAATATTTTCTCCCATTCTGTGGGCTGCCTTTTACCTTTACTGGTGATGTCCTTTGCATCACAAACATCATTAATTTTGAAAAGATCTAATGTAGATATCTCTTTCTTTTGTTGCTTGTGCTTTTGGTGTGAGAGCCAAGATACTGTGATGAACTCTTTTTTTTTTTTTTTGAGGAAGTTTAGCCCTGAGCTAACTGCTGCCAATCCTCCTCTTTTGGCTGAAGAAGGCTGGTCCTGAGCTAACATCTGTGCCCATCTTCCTCTACTTTATATGTGGGATGCCTGCCACAGCATGGCTTGCCAAGCGGCACCATGTCGGCACCATGTCCGTACCCAGGATCCAAACCGGTGGACCCTGGGCCACCAAAGCGGAACGTGCGCACTTAACCGCTGCGCCACCAGGCTGGCCCCTGATGAACTCTTTTAATCTGCCTTTTCACTTTCTTAGCAGTGGTAGTGGTAACAGAAGAGCATTTTTAAAGTGATTTGGGATGCATAAATTTAATAGTACTTGATAAATTACCCCTTATCCCAACATACCTGAAATGTTGTTTTGGGGGAATAGTTATACATCCTTCATTATCTTAAAGAGAAGGTAAACGGGATCCCAAAGCATCATGAAATTCTTACTACCATAGGTAAAGTTTGGCCCTTTCAATATTTATTCAATTATTAAATATTTATTGAGTATCTATGTTTACTTGGCATTGTTTAGACATTTGGGGTAAGAAAACTGAAAAAAAAACTTTTAGTGTCTTTAAATGCATTGTAAAAGTTGAAATGCTGTTTCCTGGAAAGACTCTTCATACTGCAGTATATCACAGTTGGCAGGAAAAAAAGTGTTGCTTCGTGGCTTCTCTGGGAGTTGGTGCCCTCACACTTATTGCAATGTTCCTATCACAGATGGTCACTGCAAAATACTTGCTCATGCGCCAAGGTACAACAGGGTTGCATTATCGCCTTCGCTCTGAGTTTGTTTTGTGGTTTTCTTTGGAAACCCTAACATCATTTAAATGTAATTTTTTCAATTTAGCCCTGTTTACAGAACTGTAATAAGATATTTCTCTATTAATAGCAGGAAGGGAAGACCTTGCTTGTTTAGGGTTTTGAAAAACTCCTGCACTTTTTTCTTAAAGGTATTTAGTGAAATGGATTGCAGAGATTTGCAGATTCCTTTTTCTTAATTTGCCCAAATGATTTTCAAGGGAAAATTAGTTGAACCG